AAAGGTATGAGCCACGGGACAGTTAAGAGTGTTAATAGACACTTGCAAGTATGAAGAAGTCATTTACTGGCTTCAAGTTAATCACTGATAAGGGATGTGGCACTTTTTTGCACAAGTATGTACCCCTTCCATAGCTAATATGGATGTGAGATGCCTTTTTGGAGCCTGCATTAGAAATACAACAAATGACATGCTAGGGAATTTGGGATAAAAGATATATGTCAACTTAAAGTTATACAGCTAAGGAAAGAATACTGGTTTTGGGGAAGAAGATTTCAAAAAGTTTAGAGAAGAGCAGCATATTATCTCATGGCCAGAGAATGCTGAGAAGTTCTACCAGTTCTCATGCAGGTCTGGGAGAGAAGCTTAAAACCTGGGGACTCAGCTCCTGCCTTTCAACTTTCCTTCCAGTTGATGATCATAACTTTTGAAAAGAAACCAGGGTATACAGAAAGGGAGTCGCTGGTCACACAGATGGTGTCAAAGCTCAGGATTGGATATTCCAGATTTTGGCTTCTGATCCCAGCTGTGGAGACTCCTGGAAAGGGACAACACATATCATAGAAAGCTGAGAAGATTTCAGGCAGGACCTGACCGTGAGTGAGTTATTTTGAAATGAGATTAAGGAGTGACACTGTTCAGCACAAAGACAAACAAACAAAACTGTAAACTAGATCACAAGAAGGAAATTATATATGGGCATAGAAAGAGGGATGGTAGTAGAGAATCATCTAAGCTGTTGACAGGAAAATTTTGGTTTAGATAGCTATATTCTAGTGTCTGAAGGGATGCTAACAGTTATTTTTTTAAAGGCTAAATTAAATTTGGGGAATCCTACATTCTAGATCCTATTCTTTTAAAACAGCACGTTACACACTAGCATAATAAAGGCTTTGAGAAAATCCACAAAGAAAGCAATTTACCTTTGTTCAAGCTAGAGTTTGCCACCATTGTTAGGCTACCTAAATACTTACTAATATCCACTGTGGGACACTAATATTCCAACAGACCAGTTTAGAAAACCTGGATCTATACCAATACACAAAGTATGAATGACAGAAATTAATCAACAACCAAAAAACTTCACAAAAGTAAGACAAAGTAGGGTGAATGAAACAAACATGAAACAATATATGGAGGTAAATACTATCTCATAGAGAAACCAAGACTTTGGGGTATGGGATTTGGGGCTGGGGTAATAACAATATAATGGTATGTTTTAGATGAAGAAAACAAATTCAGTGTAATGATCTCAAGTAGCACTTCATATAAAGAAGATAAACAGGGAAGTTCATAGAAGTGGGAATGGAATCATGTGGGGAACATTCAGTGTAAGGGAGGGAAATGGAAGAGTGTAACTGAGCACACAACAGCACATCAGAAAGCCATGGCATAACAGTAATGAGTGATTTGATTTCTTGAAAAATCCTTCTGATAAAATCAGAGAATATGAAAAATTTATGCCTTGCGTTGCTGATAATTTTAATCTCTCAATAAATTGAAGCAGCAGTGAGAAATGGGATTTAGTGTCAGTTTAATTTTAACAAATATGGGAAGAGTGGTTGGTCATTTAGAGATACTGGAAACTTTGGGAGAAAGCCAAGTACTCATAAAATCCAGCCTTTCCATAATCCTGTCAGAGATGTTTTACAGAGGATTTCTTAGAAACATTGGAGACTGCCGCTAACATTCTGCAGTCACGCTGAAGAACTCCAGAGGCAGCCAGGGCACTGAGTGCCAGGCAGCTCCTGTGGCTTTGTTGCTATGTTGAAAAGAAACAAAGGATTCTACACAGTCAAAAGAGCACCAGATGCTCCATGTAAACATACTGTAGAACTGTATGAACTGGAACAAAGTGGCGCTGGAATAAAAACAAATTAGTAGTACAGAGAAGATACCTCAGAAATAGATAAAAAACATACATAAGAATATAATCTGTGATAAAAGGCAGAAGTAAGTCAGTGGGGATGTAGAAAATTGCAATATATATCAATTTCTAGAGAAGGCAAACCTTTCTGTATTTAGAAGTGGAATGAAGAAATAAAGAAAAAAATAAACATAAAAAGTTTTAAAAAGAATCAACATTAAGGGGCAAAAAACAAACTAGATAAATGTTTTTAGGAAATATTAAGTCAAAAGATTAAAATGCTTAACAAATGGACAAATATAAACCAATTTTTTAAATTACCAAGAACCTATCATGATAAACAGATATAGTATGAGAATAATCTAAATAATAATAACAAAAGAGGAAATGTAAATAGAAAAGAAAGGGGGAAAGGAAAATAACAAAGGTAGTTATAAAAATATTTAAGGTAAAATAATAGGATGACATATTTCATTTCAAATTAGTAAATATTAAATACATATGCATATTTTGGAAATTAAATGTTCATTTCTTTTGACCTACTAGTTCTACATTTAGTATTCTGTTCAAGGAAAATAATTCTAGCTGCTGAAAAGTCCTATGCATAAAAATGTTAATTGTATCATTTTCTGTTAAAAAAAAAAACAGCAAAAAGAAAGGAAAAAATAAGAGCTAATGTTTAATGAATGCTTCCTATATAGAGCTACTATATGAGTTATTTTATGTAAGTTATCACATTTAAGTCTCACAACAGTTCCATGAAATAGATATGATTACCATTTTATGGAAAAGGTAAAATGCTTTCACATGCTCAGAGAGATCAAGTTCTCGAAAGGAATTTGGCTAGTAAGAGTGAAAACATAGAACCAGCCTAAATGTAAACAGTAGAATGGTTATTTACTTGATGAATCATTTTAATTTTTTTAATATAAAATTATAAAATGGAAAAATGGTTTAGGACAAGATGTTAACAAAAATTCATAAAATAAAATTTTATATTCAATATGATGAAATATTTGTGTAGAAAAAAGATGGGAAGGAAATACAAAAACACTAACCAAATACAATAGAACCTCACCCTGAGATTGTGTCAACAAATGTAATAAGCTGGTGGCCCTGAGAACAAAGCAAAGTGCAGTTAAATTGTCAGCTGCAGAGATGATGGAGGGAAGCCCAGAAAGACCCTGAAAGACTCGAAAACAGTTTAAGCAATTTGGCTAATACAGGAGATAGCGTAATTCAGGGCAGATATGGTAAATCTTCTATAACGAGTAGGGCTGTAATTCTTTTCATGGCAGGTTGCTGGGAAAATCGTAAATTGGTCATGGGTAAAATGTCAGAAGGCTCAAATCATAAGAAAAATAATGAATTATCAAGGTTTTGGCTTACACTAGAAGTCGCACAACATTTTCTGAGCGAAGTGGGAGGTGAGACAAGAAAAAAGTAATTTCTGTTATATGAATGTTTTTGTTAGGCAGATAGGAAAATGGGTGGAAAAAATGGAAATCTTTACTCTGAAGTTATTGGAAGGAAATATCTGCCTAGATTAGCTTTAGGGAAAAGGGGCCTGGAAAACACATGTTCAAATCATTGAAAATGTCATTTATATATACACGCCACTGCAGCAGATTAATCTTCCATGTATGAATTTTATTGCATTTTTGGAAATTGTAGAAATATTCTAAGTATGTTTCATAACTCAATCTTTGTCTTTCTTTTTCCTATGTCTACCACTTTGCCCTGTCTCCTGTCCACTCTCATGTTCTTTCTTGTTATATTAAAAAAGAAACCATATATTTATTTATATATGTATATATATATACATATATATATACATACATCTGTATACATATATACATACATGTACACATATATAGACACACATATATAAAATTTATTATAGCTAATTTAGAATTTTTCATCTATGGTCACTATTAACAAAAAAAGAAACCAAATGCTTGGTCAGCACAAAGTAGACAGGTTTGAGGGTGCAGAACTCAGAAACATTTCAAAGGCAATTGGTTTCTCTTAAGGGCATACCATCTACCCTCACCTAACTTGACAACCCAAAGTAAATTATTCTTCTGCCGTTAATAATAATGACCATAGCATAATAACTGTTACCTCTCCATTCAAATTCTGAGAGGGCAGGGACCATGCCTGTTTTGTTTACCACTGGAGTCCCTGCAACAGGACAGTGCCTCCATGAATATTTGTTGAATGAGTGAGTGAATGAATGAATGAATGAATGAATGAATGAGTGATGAATATTCAAATCCTATTTATCCCTCCAGAGTCAGCTCAAGTTCCACCTTCCTGACTAACATCTTCCCTTAGAGCCCCAGTGATTGATCTGATAATTACTACTTGACCAGTCTGCGCCACTACTTAACACCCGATTCTACACATTATTTTTACTGTTGTTTTTGATTGCTGTTTTTTTTAATTTAGGGAAACAGGTTCCTCAAGGATCCAGATATGTATATATACTCTATTTCCCAAAGCACTTTTTACAGGGCACATGTAAAATCCTCAATAAACACGTATTAAATTAAACAATGAAATATTTTAAATGACCTTTGATTTTGTGATATTTCTAGACATGTTCTCTATTAAATACATTGTATTATGATTCCAAAGTGTGATAGACAGAAAACATGGAATTTGGTGTTCGTTGAGCTGAGTTTCTAGCTCTGCTTCTTCAATGCCAGAAAAGTCACCTAAACTCTGGTCTTGTTTCCTTATTTGTAAAATGGAAACATGAAAAGAGCAACAACAAAAATAAATATCTACCTATCTCAAAGGGAAGATAATGTACGTGAATGCGGTTTGCAAATTGGAGGGCAAATATTAGCCATTCTATTTGCTAATCTAAAAGATGCAACTGATGCTGCAAGGCTACAGAGGATAGATGCTGCCTGTAGCAGTAACAGGCTGGCTTTTTCTGAGAACAGCTATTAGGCAGAAGAACAAGGCGATGAGGAAAAGAATCTCAACCATAACCTGCCAAACATGCTCCAGTCATAAATCAAAGACCATGTTCAACACTAGCTGTTGAAGAGATTACCGGGCACCTGTCACCCGCACCCTTTGGCACGGCTGCAAGTGTCTTCGAAACCAGGAGAAAGCTTACCAGACACGAGCTGCTGTCCAGGCAACCCCACGGGAACCATGCCCAAGTTATTCATGGCTGTGGCCCAGGCTGTCGGATCCGTCACGGACATGTTGAGCTGAGTTGTGTCTATTGCTATACTCCCCAAACCATCGGCTGCTGTGGGGAAAAACAAACTGACTTACAATCAATAGGCAAGGGTGTTTGTTTTAAAGGAAATCACATTTCTAGAGATGTGAGGCTTCATTTAACACATTCCCAAACCACAGAAAAATAAAGCACTATGATCTACAGCAATGTTTTCTCCAGACATAAACATAAAGCGTTTCCAAATACTTTCTCGGAGGAAATTTAATGACATGTAGTTTATATTATACACAGCATGCCATTAAGGAGGTACCCCTGGAAAAAATTGAAGAATTGCTTCCTTCTGCCGGTGAAACAACATTAGTTAAGTTACAAGGTTGAGAGGCAAAGCAGTAATACTCTCTTGGTAAAGCAAGTCAACTGGCTTAGTAGACTAAGAATAAATAAATTCATCTGTTTCCAGGTGAAATTCTCAAGAAGGCATGCCTTCTAACTATCTACTAGAAAAACAGTTGTCAAGTAGTAAAACTGGTGAATTAATTCAGTGTTACTTTATAACATATTCCTTCCTTTAAAAACTTTTACATCATCACATTAAGCAAATGTAGGTGTCTACCTATGGTGACTTTTATAAATGCTGACTTTCATTAAAAAACCAAAAACCAAAAAACCCAACAAATAAAATTAAAAAACAAATAACGCAAAGCTAAAAACAGCAGTATGTGTCAAACTTGATTTAATGCTCTTGATTTTCACTAGTTCCACAGCCTAATTTCTTGCAGGGCCCAGGCTCCTGGTTCAACGGATATTTTCATGGCCAAGCAAGCTTTTCCACTAAGAACTTAAAATGCCTTGTTTGTGTCCTGTGCTAGCCATCAACATTTACCTGCAGCCATCATCTGAGGAAGCTCCTGGGGACACTGGGCAATGCTCTCAACTCCACCTGCATCTACCACTGAATTACGAGCATCCTGCGGGGCAGGAGCACTTTGATGGCTGAGTGCAGGGTCCCTTCGGAGGTCATCGGATTCTGCAAAAGGGGACGGAAGTGTGGTGAGACACCATAATAGTTAACTGAGAGAGAATTTCAAGGGACAAACTGTTGTCTATTCGATAACAAAAACAAACAACACAGAACAATGTTCAGTCTCAGGCACAGAAGTAAGTCTGCTTCCTGTCCCTCGGCAGCTGTCCTGCGGCTCCATTTCGGAGCCCTGTGAGATGTGCGGGTCTTCCACTCACCTTGCACCAGGCTGGCTGAGTGAACAGCACCGTCTGTGAGCACTTCAAGTGCCTTGCTCCCACTGAAGAGCCTTCACAAACAGGGCTTATCAGTCCTTGCACAGCCTCTTCTACACACGACACATCAATGGAGGGGCAGACTCTGGGCTAAATATGATTTTTTTTTTTTTTTTTTTTTTACTGACCTGTAACGGGATCGCAACCCTCGGTGTCACGTCCGTACCGGGGACCGGCAACGGGATTGCAACCCTCCGTGCTGCGCCCGCACCGCGCTCAGCCAGTGAGCGGGAACCGGTCTCCACATGGGATCCGAACCCTCGGCGGGAGCGCCGCCGCACTCCCAAGCAGCGCACTCTCCAGTGCGCCACCGGGCCGGCCCTAAATATGATTTTTTTTAAGTTAAAAAATTAACTGATGTTACTTTGGAAGACGGCCATCTGTGAAATGTATTCAGAAAGAGAAAAGGTCGGGAGGGGGAAGAAAAAAGCAAGAACCCACTTGTTGTGAGGCTGGAAGAGGAGGGTTCCTAAATTACAATAGTCAGAAAAGGTGAAAGGGAAGAATAGCATGCTGTCCCTAAAAGAAGATCTAGAGGGTGTCGGAGCAGCAAAGGAAAAGCATTTGTTTTTTCAGCTCTATGGAAAGTTCATTTTAACTGGCCATAATTTGTTTGGTCTGAATTTTCCTTAGAATCGCACAGCTTGTGTGTGTGTGTGTGTGTGTGTGTGTGTATTTTATTAGATTTTTAAAGCATTTTTCTAATAAATATAAATAACAATAATACATTAAAGTTACAAAGTGCAAAATATCACACTATTTATAAAATGATATGCCTTCTCTCCACCCTCAGAAATGCAAAAACAGAGCATTCATACATGCGTACTCATCAAAATTTGGATGAGTGACCTGACAAGTTTTACCTTAAGTAGACTCAATATAGCAACTGAGTTTAAACATTTATTTTTATTTTGGTATAAATTTGGAAATTTTTCTAATCTATGTTTCTGTTAATAATTGCAGAATTAGATGTTATGGTTAGTCAATTAATCTAATGTGGAGTTTGAACTTTTTACGGTATGTTCTTTTATTTCTTTGATTCTTAGGTACAAGAATCAGTAATCTCTTGAGCACTGTACTGTCAAAAAGAACTTCTTGCCAGTTGAGCAGAAGTTTAATTCAAATGGAAGCTCAGGTTTCAATATCTCAAGGATAGTGGATAATGAGTAAATGATTTTTATGGTCTCAACAAATCTCTAGACCTCAACTAGAGGACACTGAGAATTTTTTTTTTACAATTGTTTATCAGGAAGATGAAACATCATCATCTAGCAGTGAATGATTTCAACTTTGGGAGCAAATTGTATTCTGAATAAATATTTTAGACCTTGCCATTAAACTCTACTACCAAAATGAATTCAGAGCTTGCTTATATACTGTGGATCAATTTTCTTAGGTAATGGGTGCCATCAGACAAAGAGATTCTTACCATATAAAATAAATTCAGTACCATAAGAAATATGTAGCTAACCGAAATGTCTGCCCTGTAGCTATCCATTCATCAGCACTATTTCTATGATGAAACCTCAAAGCACTTTTCTGTCTCCATCTCCAACCACTTCAGAGCACCAAGGCAGAGTCAGGCTAGACTGTGCTCATTCTTTTGTTCAAATGGCCCTGCAGTAGAGCTGTTTCAGATCATCGCAAGGTCACTATTTGTCTTACTTATCTCTCCAAATGAAGTTTAGTTGGCTGGCTTCCTTCTAGCTTGGATTCTCCCCAAATGGGCATTAATCACACCTTTTTTCTGTGTAATGAGTCTGTAGCTCTGGAACACTATATCGGAACATCCCTTCACTTTGTAGGCTTTATGACTTGTGCCTGACCGGCCATGTTTCACCTTGACTTTTTGCTACAGTGTTTTAGGGATGGCGTTAACTTTCCTTGGCTCTATAACTGCCTGTTCCAATGGCAGTTTTCACCTTAGTGATTACAGTCCTATAAAGGGGCATCAAATGTCCTAGAGACCCATAGCTTCTACCTACACTTTTCATGGCCATCTTAACAAACTGTGACTGTTTCATTGAAAAAAAGCATTGCTCTGTTGGCAGGATGTGGTTTGTAAACCTTGATTTGTCCTCCAGTCGAACACTATGACATTCAATTTATTACATTTCTTCAGTCTTCCAATTCAAAGGTTTTAATGACACAACTTCATGTGGTTATCATGTACCTAGCTAGGATGGTGATTCCAAAGTTGAGTTCTTGTCACATCTTAGGCACTTCCAATAGTCTCAAGACTTCTTCTTTTTTTTTTTTTTTTGGCTTTTTCATGACAGGTAAGGGGATCGCAACCCTTGGCGTGGTGTCACCCACACCGTGCTCAGCCAGTGAGCGCACTGGTCATCCCTATATAGGATCCGAACCCGCAGCGGGAGCGTCGCTGCGCTCCCAGCGCCGCACTCTCCTGAGTGTGCCACAGGGCTGGCCCTAGTCTCAAGACTTCTATGACACTATTTACAAAATGTATATTGATTTGGTCACTTGGCTGGGAAGAAAGGTGATACTTTTAATTAATTACTATCTAGTAATTTATGAATAGCTGCAAGGACTATTTTTTGTACTTTACTAACATCTATCCTTCCTATTGAATACCTGCCTCCTTAAATGATTCAAGACCATAACACCTAATTTACCATTCAAATCAATTTTTCTGCCTTAGTTTTCTTACTCCTAAACTATAGAAAAGATTAATATTCTTAATGATGTTTATTCAAACACATATGTGAGGAGTTAAACATTACAGCTAATAGAGCACGTTGAATATAGTAGGCAATAACTATTATTATTTGATCTGGAAGTGTGGCATTTCCATTAAGTACCCTCAAATCTTTGTGTTCTGGTGGATCATTATGTAATCAACTTTAAAACAGTAACACTTGATATTTCTTTTTCTTTTTTTTTTTTTTTCCTTTTTGTCTTTTTTCGTGACCGGCAACGGATCGCAACCCTCAGTGTCGCGCCCGTACCGGACCGGGACCGGCAACGGGATCGCAACCCTCGGTGTTGCTCCCGCACCTCGCTCAGCCAGTGAGTGGCCGGTCTGTATGTGGGATCCGAACCCTCGGCGGGAGCGCCACCACACTCCCAAGCGGCATACTGTAGCAGTGCGCCACCGGGCCGGCCCAACACTTGATATTTCTAAAAGTAAGTGTTGTCCTAGTTTTCTGGGCAGCACCTAAATTGTAGCAGAATATTTCATTTTCCATAATTTCTTTTTAAAATAATATAATACAACATAAAAGATGTATAAATTTTTTCTCTCCAGTTTTTTTTCTGCCTATGAAAGTACAAAAGCTTTCAAGAGATTCATGACCAGTTATGAAATTGGCAGTTTCTACTTATAACTTTTAGCGAGATAAGATCATCACGAAACAATCAGATGTACAAAATGCTAAGGACGACTGAGTTTAGTTTTGTCTAGGGCTTAATGGATATCTAATCTGTTCTTCGTTAAGATATATTTAAGTACAAAATTACAAAATTTCATACTCAATTTCATAAGTGTTCAGCATTATGCTCAGTATTTCAGTGAGAGAAATAGTTTTTGAAACTCAACAAGCCTATGAAAATACAGCTGACCTAAAAAAGGACACGGGCTGTTCCCACTCTTAATAATATAATCCCTTCTAACTCTTTCCAGCTTTTATAGGTACAAAAGACACACACATTGTGAATGATAAAACCCACCTGTAACAGTCCACAAAACATATCCTATTTAAAGAAGGTAGAGATCAGTAGGCATTAAAAATTCCTTTTGTTAAAAAAAATAATATTTTGTTTGATCTAAGTCCTTAGGTTCATACCTACTTCAATATCAAAATGATGACAGTGAGAAAATCAGTTTATTAAGTTCTTGTAAAGAGTTGATACCAGAGGAAACCTATTTCATATGATATCGGAAACCTTATTTTATAGGAATTCTTCATAGTTTATATTTATAGTTAAAAAAACCAAAACATTTCCATCCAAAGTTCATTCTCCTCTTCTATCACCAAGATATTTAACTTTAATCTTCATGTAATCTGTAGGATACTCTCTTGAAGTTACAAAAATGATCTATAGTTTAAAACAATATAGAATATTGTTAATAGGTGTTACTTATGTATTAACTCCACGATTTTTAAGCAACTGTCTGTGGATAATAAAGGAGACACTTCTGCCTCCTGTAATGGTAAACAGTAATTGTAGACTGATCTTTCCAGTGAAGAACAACTAGAAATCTCCATGTCTTTTGTCGGTTTTGTAAAATTCTCACTATTACCTCTTCAAATAAAAACGGAGCTCAAAGGCCATGCTCTAATTACCATAGAGGGTTACTGTAGTTGGTTGAATTATGTGTCCCCCAAAACTTGTTGAAGCTTAAATTGTTTCTCTCAGGCTTTATGTATTAGAAAACTTAGCCCCCACTGTGACTGTTAAAAGGGTGGGAAATCCTATTACAGTAACTGAAAGGTAGAGCCTTAAAGAAGTGATTGGATTGTAGTACTATGTAGTAGGGAATGGATTAAAAATGGTGGTCCGGGGTGTGGTTCTGAGGATTCTAAAAGAAGAGAGAAGAGAGTCTGTCCTTCTTGCTGTTCTCTCTGCTTACACCATCTTGCAGTGTGAGACCCCTGGGTCACTGTTGCCACCACCAGATGGACTTTGGACTTCCCAGCCTTAGAAACTGTAAGCGATAAATGTCGTTTTTCTTTATAAATCACCTAGTTTCCAGTATTTTTTTAATAAGCAACATAAACAGACTA